AATGAAACTTCTGCCAAAAACCATCTGCTGTTCATGAAGGTTTCCCACAGAAATGTGAGAAGATTAAAAATACCTGAATCACGGTGTCCTGTCAATCAAAAAACTATTAGCGGCAGTTTGACACTCAAGCAAAGGTTTTAATTAAGCAGGAATGAGAGTAAAGCTCAGCGGTTCCACTGTGGTTCCTGCTGTTTCAATCACCGATCCCTGCTACAAACATCGCAGACGGCGCCTGCATTCACTGCGCGGAAGCGCAGCGGTTGCCATGGCGCAGCTGCAGCTCGAGCGGAGCTGTGATATTTAACTGGGTTTATGAGAGCCTGGTGTTCAGACGTCCCATAATGCCCATGGAGAGATGCACACAGTCTCATTACCGCTGTCAGCACTCAACAAAAGCACTGAAGAGTTAACAATCACACACTCTATTAAAGTCAATAGCCATCCTGACAGACACACAAAAGCTACTCTCCACGGAGCCCAAGTGTGAACTCAATTCATCCCGGATAAATGAGACGAGGATGAGACCAGAGGAGATGCTCTGAGATGATGATGAGACCAGAGGAGACTATCTGAGACACTGATGAGACCAGATGAGATGCTCTGAGACACTGATGACACCAGAGGAGACGATCTGATACACTGATGAGACTGGAGGAGACTATCTGAGACACTGATGAGACCAGATGAGATGCTCTGAGACACTGATGAGACCAGAAGAGACGATCTGATACACTGATGAGACCGGAGGAGACTATCTGAGACACTGATGAGACCAGAGGAGACTATCTGAGACACTGATGAGACCAGATGAGATGCTCTGAGACACTGATGAAACCAGAGGAGACGATCTGATACACTGATGAGACCGGAGCTCTGAGACAATGATAAGCTCAGAGGAGACGCTCTGAAACACTGACGAGACAAGAGGAGATGCTCCGAGACGGCGCTCTGAGACAATGATAAGCTCAGAGGAGACGCTCTGAAACACTGACGAGACAAGAGGAGATGCTCTGAGATGGCGCTCTGAGACATTGACAAGCCCAGAGGAGACGCTCTGAAACACTGACGAGACAAGAGGAGATGCTCTGAGAGGGCGCTCTGAGACATTGACAAGCTCAGAGGAGACGCTCTGAAACACTGACGAGACAAGAGGAGATGCTCTGAGATGGCGCTCTGAGACATTGACAAGCTCAGAGGAGACGCTCTGAAACACTGACGAGACAAGAGGAGATGCTCTGAGATGGCGCTCTGAGACATTGACAAGCTCAGAGGAGACGCTCTGAAACACTGACGAGACAAGAGGAGATGCTCTGAGATGGCGCTCTGAGACATTGACAAGCCCAGAGGAGACGCTCTGAAACACTGACGAGACAAGAGGAGATGCTCTGAGATGGCGCTCTGAGACATTGACAAGCCCAGAGGAGACGCTCTGAAACACTGACAAGAGGAGACGCTCTGAGACGGCGCTCTGAGACACTGACAAGCCCAGAGGAGACGCTCTGAAACACTGACGGGACAAGAGGAGACGCTCCGAGACACTGACGAAACCGAAGGAGACGATCTGATAAAATGATGAGACCAGAGGAGACGATCTGAAACACTGATAAAACCAGAGGGGACGCTCTGAGACACTGACAAGCCCAGAGGAGACGCTCTGAAACACTGACGGGACAAGAGGAGACGCTCCGAGACACTGACGAAACCGAAGGAGACGATCTGAGACACTGATGAGACCAGAGGAGACGATCTGAGACACTGATGAGACCAGAGGAGACGCTCTGAGACACTGACGAGACAAGAGGAGATGCTCCGAGACGGCGCTCTGAGACAATGATAAGCTCAGAGGAGACGCTCTGAAACACTGACGAGACAAGAGGAGATGCTCTGAGATGGCGCTCTGAGACATTGACAAGCCCAGAGGAGACGCTCTGAAACACTGACAAGAGGAGACGCTCTGAGACGGCGCTCTGAGACACTGACAAGCCCAGAGGAGACGCTCTGAAACACTGACCAGACAAGAGGAGACGCTCTGAGACATCGATGAGACAAGAGGAGATGCTCTGAGACGGTGCTCTGAGACACTGACAAGCCCAGAGGAGACCCTCTGAAACACTGACAAGAGGATACGCTCTGAGACGGCGCTCTGAGACACTGACAAGCCCAGAGGAGACGCTCTGAAACACTGATGAGACAAGAGGAGACGCTCTGAGACACCGATGAGACCGGAGGAGACGCTCTGAGACACTGACTAGACCAGAGGAGACGCTCTGAGACACTGACTAGACCAGAGGAGACGCTCTGAGACACTGACGAAACCGAAGGAGACGATCTGAGACACCGATGAGACCAGAGGAGACGATCTGAGACACCGATGAGACCGGAGGAGACGCTCTGAGACACTGACGAGACCGGAGGAGACGATCTGAGACGCTGACGAGATCGGAGGAGATGATCTGTGGTGCTGATTAGACCGGAGGAGACGGTCTGAGGCACTGATTAGACCAGAGTAGGCGCTCTGATACACTGATGAGACCAGAGGAGATGCTCTGAGATGCTGATGAGAACAGAGGAGACACTCTGAGACGCTGATTAGACCAGAGGAGATGATGAACAGTGCTGATGAGACCGGAGGAGGTACTCTGAGACGAGGATGAGACCAGAGGAGATGCTCTGCCACTTTCCAAGGCAACGTTTCTCAATTTCATTTTGTTCGACTTGATGAACTAAAATAACTAAAAATAAGACTGAAAAAATTAAATTACAGAAACAAACATCAAAATTACTAAAACTTTTTCTGAAATCAAAATATAAAATATAAAAATAAAAACTGATTCAAAATATGAATAAAAACTATAGTAGCATCTCAATGAAACTAAAATAACACTGACAGTCAGGTTTCTAAACAGTTGTGAAAAACAGCTTTGAACCTTTATATGAACATATTTATAAATAATCAGATGTATCTTTATCGTTGGCATTTGTATTTATGATTTTTGACGGGTTGAACGGAGGAGATGAAGACGTGAGTGATTCACAGAGATGTCAGTAAAATCCCAATCCACACGCACAGAGACCCAGGCCGGGATTTGAGTCTGACAGCAGTGCAGCTAGACTGAGACTCAAACAAATGAAACCCTCAGAAGGAGAATGACTCAGTGAATCTCTAGAGCTTTATACAGTACAGATTCTCTCAAAGCATTACGAAATGGGAGAAATAACAGTGTTAATGTTGAAAAATTCATCTGTTAAGAAACAAACTCAAATTCAGCTGT